GTTCAGTAGTCGACAGAATCTCAAATAGAATTACTTATGATAATAGGATACCTGTGTCCAAATGGGGAAAAAAATAATTTGGGCTTTACAAGAATGGAAGATAAAATTTCAAACATTTTGGATCATTTGGGCCTTTGAACATGATTCCCGGATTGCGCAGGGAAGTCATTTTGAAAGATATTAGGCCCAAATGATAAGGTTACGCTCATATCAAAGAGATGAACCAAACTGGCAATGCTGTTTTTTTAAGCAAGCCCAAAAAAGATTTCTAGAGCCCCTTCAAACACATGCTGGCCCAAATTGCACCAAGAAAAATCAGGCGTAAAGTTGCACACACACGAAAAAAATCATCGATAAAATTGTATCTCTAAAAAGATCAAAAAATAAAATTATAGTTAAATTTGCCCATTTATTCTTAATTTTTTTTTTTAAAAAGTAACTTTAGTCCATAATGGCATAAATCCGATTTCCGAGAAGTGTATTCCTCATAAACAACAAGTCTCAATTATAAAATACTGTATGTCACAATTAATAAACCAAAGCCCATTTGATCCGATATTTAATTCGTTTCACCTTTTGTTTTACCAGCAGGCCATAAGCTAAATAATCCCATTAAAAGAAAGAGAACAGAATAACATGAAGATAGCCCGCAAGGAAGAATATGAAGGATAAGTAAAACCCAAGTATGCCTTGTGCTTTTCTCTCTCCAATAACATTGGTTTGCTTGTGGAAGAGAGTCTTGGCTGAGCAAGTTATGTATGTCATGAGCTTAAAATTGACAATTGGAATTTCTTTTTTTTTTTGCCAGCCATAAAAATAACTTAAATTGAAGGAGCATTTATTTATTTATTTATTTATTTTTGCTGGGCACTTGATGAGTAATTATTGAGGGAGGTGGCAGTGTAGCAGATTTATTGAGCAGAGGCCGGGAAGCGCAGAGAGAGAGAGACATTCGTATTCATTAATCGTTACAAAAGCTTAGACTTTGACAGCAAACAGAGCAACGCGTGGCAGTTTGTAAGTGGGTGGGCGGAAAGCTGGCTTTTCCTTGTTACCCAATCAGCATGGCAATGGATTCAAAAATTAAACAAATGTTGGATACGAAGAAAAAAAAGGGATAAAACACTCCTGTTATTTAATTATTAGTATGTGATGCGCAGATATAAAAGGACCCTCTATCCAAGATGAGAGGCGATAATGTAGACTCGGAGATGCAGTTTTTCAAAATTATGATTTATAAAATATGACGTCAGTAAATATGTAAGGTGAGTACTTACTTATATGAAAGTGTTTATAAATACTTAAAATAAACAAATGCAAAGAAACCCAACATAAGTTCCTTTCTCTTAATTTGGACTTGCCTGAAATATAAGTCTCGTTTGATATTATCAGGAACATCTAGTATTTATCCTCTTCGAGTAGAAACAAACTTTATGACCAATAAGAGTTAGTTTAGTTGGTAAAAAATCGGCTCATAATTCATAAAATTATGAATTTGAATCCTGCTACTAATGTGAGAACCTTATTAGTAGGCGATCTATAAGTATTTTTGTAAGCGTTCTCTAAGCCTAGAGGCATGTCTTGACCCTGGTGAGTTTCCGGACCCAACACACCTAAACTTTTTGTTTAAAAAAAAGAAATAAACTTTATAAGTAAGTAATTAATTATAATTAATGTATTATTGACTTTTTCTATGTATTTGAAAAACTTTACAAATTATTTACATATTTAATTTAATATAGGGATAAAGTGCAAATTTGTCATGAAAGTTTTTATTTAAGAGTGTCGAGCATCTAAGAGTTTTTTTTGGTTTAATGCTACATATTTCCAAATTGTAACAATGTCACCTTAGCCATTATATTGTTATTTGACCAAATATACTGGGATGCTAGGTCCACTTGTCATTTGATATTTTTTTGAGTTAAAATGTAAATTTGTCCCAAACGTTTTCATTCAATAGTGCTGAGTTTTTATAAGTTTTTTTAATTCAATATCATTATGAATGTTTTCAAACCGTAACAACATTGCCTTGGCCATTATTTATGTTAAATTTGACTGTTGGTTGACTAGATATGTTAAACTAACAAATCACATGTCATGCACTTCATTTTTTCCAAGTTAGATTTATAAATAAGGAAAGAATCCTACCTTCTGCTTCTTTTTTTACTGTTCATTTTGTCAGCTCAACGTATTTGATCAGTTAATAGTCAAATTTAATTTTGATAACAGTGCAGGTGATATTGTTATGATTTGAAAATTTTTAGTATTATATTGAACAAAAAGAAAACACCTTGTGTTTCTAAGTAAAATCTTGACAAATTTATATTTTAACTTTTTAAGGTATTATTGATTTTTTCTTATTTTTAGGATGACAGGAAACGTAAAGGCCACCATGTGTGGGCATGTGAGTGGGAAGTTGACGTATTAAAGGTCCTACCAAATAGCGTGTAACACATTAGGATGTGGCGGTTAGGTATTAACCGAGTCACTTCCACTTGCCTCGGCCTTCAATTATGGCCCATGAACCCTAACTTCGTGTGGTCCCCCACCCTCAATTAAGCCCTCAATTATGCTTCTTTGCAAGCTTGCAATCTCTAACATCATTTCATATCAAAGCTAAACCTGACTCCAATTTCGTATCTTCCCCAACTGGCTGGATCTCAATCCCCTTTTATATTATATCCCTCCATTTTGGAACTTAACTGCCTCTTCGTCTGATGCCTACTCATCTCTCATCACCATCCCACTAACATTCAACTCGGTTTTCCCACTGTTTTATTCCTCCTACTCCCACTCTTCTAACTTAGAGAGAATGTTCCGTTATCTTCATATTAGATGTGCAGATTGCTTTGATTCTAATTATACAATCCCAATTCACTTTATTCTTCAACTATATATATATATTTTTTAAAAATTCTTATTGATTACACATATTAAAATGGATTTTTATCATAGGATAATTCTAATACACATGATTAAATATGATAGTTTAGGAAAACCAATACACTTTTATTATCAATAACTAACTTAACTAATTTATTATTCAGTTCTTATATTAAAAATCAGACATAATACTTCGGGCCTGTTTGGTGGGGTCTTTCACCATCCAAAAGGTAGCTTATAAGTGTAATAAGTCGGCTTATAAATTTGAAAGGTATTTGGAATGGCCTTTGATCAATCTGACTTATAGACCAAAAAATGTTTTTTTAAGTACAATTGTAAAAGTACTTAAAACTTACTTATAACTCATACAAAAGCAGCCTTTTGAAATTAAAAGATATTTTTGTCCCTATATTTATATTGTTCTTATGCTTCTCTTTACATATTCATTGTACTTCTCAATTATTTTTTAGTTATTTATTTTTAATATTCTTTTAAGTGAAAATAATTTTAACGGTTTTTTATAATTTTTTTCATTTTTAATATTATTTTTATATTTTATTTATATAAATTGTGTAAAGAATATCATCTAATTAATTATGTAATATTATTTGATTAAAAAATTTTCACATTACTATAATTTCTAATTGAAATATATTTTATTGATTAAATATAACTTCTTCCTATTATGATAATTTAAAATTATTATATTTTGTAAATTCATGTTTTTAATTATTTTTATTATTTAATAAAAGTTATACTCATTTTGGTCATTCTACAAATTAAACTTACTTACCAAACAACTTTTTTACTTTACAAACTAACTTTTGTAAAAGCCAATCTAAATATAAATCATATTATTCAATCTAACTTTTATCTATTTTACTTTTCTAAATGTCATATTGAAAATTTTGACCCAAAAAAAAGTCATATTGAAAATAAGTTAATTTTTCTATCATCACTTCAAATAGACTTTTTGTTGAGGGATAATTTATAAGTACTTCTATAGACAATATTAACATCTAATAAAGCTCTTTTCCCAGTAAAAATTGTTTTCTCTAACATGCCCAACCCAAACTTGATGTACATATGCATGCACACACACATTCGTAGTACTTTTCCGATTCTAAATATAAGACTATTATACACATTAGTATAAGAGTCTTATATTTAGGACCGGAGGAATAGTATAATAAAATAAAATCTGTGGTAAATCATGTTATTATGGATACTGTTCATCTATTTGATTTGGTAAAGCGTATGACCCAAATATCTCACTGTCAATATAGCAAAGCATAGTTTGTTTACACGAATATCTACTTTCAAGCAAGGTTAGCCTTGACTCTTGATCAAAATTTTGTAAGTATTCCTATAATAAATATAATTTTTTTTGTTGAAAGAATTTAAGTTTAGTACCAATAAATTTCTAAAATTAGGGGAAGTCTAGTAGCATCCTTTGACAAAATGTGGATTTGAATTCTGAACTTACAAGTTAGGATAAGCTTTATGATTTTAAGGACAAAATCTTCGCATCAAAGGCTTATAAATAAATTCTTTTGTCATCCTTCGTCATTAGACGGCAAAAGTTCACATATCTAATCATTCTTATTAAAAATTAAACACGCAAATTTATATTTAAATAAGAGTTTTTCTGGAATGACTTACAAATAATTTATGAATAATTTTTAATTATAATTTACAAAATATGAAATAATTATATTAAAATAATTTTATTTCAATTTACATAAATATGCTTATTGTTCATGAATCTAAACAATAACTAAGAGAGTATAAAAAAAATATTTTTTTATAAATCAAAACAAATTTTTTTACATATTTATTTTATATACTATAAAAATATTTTTAAACTTATAATTCTATTTCTACACAAGCAACTCCTAAGTCTAAGTTTAGAAAGTTCTAACACCCACTCGAACCAAACGTGAGATTTTTTTAACGTTGCAGCTTTGAAATATCAACCAAAAATTTGGACGATTCATGTGAGTAAAGATGTCATGGTCAGCTTTACTCACAACTTACAGTACACGCGTCAAATGTTTATTGGTCACTAGTAGCAACTCAATCCTTTAAATCCCAATTCGCTCCATTCCAGACCCGTTCTTCTACTTCGAAAACGCGTTAAAGCAAGGAGACGCGTGAAGTGAAGGCCACTTCTCTGTGTCTCTGTCTCCTTGCCTTCCGATGGACGAAGAAACTCGCCGGATCTTCAACAAGTTCGACATTAACGGCGACGGCAAGATCTCCAGCTCTGAGCTGAAGAAGATGCTGCTCACACTTGATTCCAAAACGACATCGAAGGAGATCGAGCGCATCATGGCTGAGCTTGACAAGAACGGCGACGGCTACATTGATCTCAACGAGTTCGCTGATTTCCACCAATCTGGTGGAGGAAAGGTCGCCGACTCAAGAGAGCTACGCGACGCCTTTGATCTGTACGACTTGGACAAGAACGGACTGATCTCGGTCACTGAGTTGCATGCTGTGCTGCGAAAGTTAGGGGAGAAGAGATCCTTGAGCGACTGCCGGAAAATTATCAGCTCCGTCGACACCGACGGCGATGGTAACGTCAATTTCGAGGAGTTCAAGAGGATGATGACTCGCGCCTAGAACCATATATACATACACCCTCGAATTGAACGGTAGGTGAATGCTTGAAGGATGATTGTGGAGACTATATCTGTAGTATTTACATGCAATATTACGGATTCTATTCTCTGCAATCGTTTCATGTGTTAGATTAAGGTCTTACTATTAGTGAATGATCGATTAATTGTATGCAAAACCTTTCTTTAACGTCGCTAATGATTGTAAACAATATCTCGTGTTTTATAATTTTATATTGTCCATTATTGCTAACCATTTCGTATTTCATTGGATGTCGAAGTCACCATCCAACAAGATTGGATCCCATACGACACACAGATATCAACAAAATCGTTAGATGTATCTTTAAAGCTATTTACGATTGTCGTAATTCTCTGGTTTTCACTGATCATGCAGGGCAGGTTATTGTTATTTGATTATATATTATCATGTATTTAATTTATTTATTTTAATCGTAATCTCTCAGTTTCATTGTTTTTTTACATTAAACTTCGAAAAATATTTATTTCATGAATTACTGATATTAACCACGATATACTATTTAATGTTGTAAATAGTTCAAGAATAAAGTAAATATTCTTCTAAACAACGCAAGAACTACACTGAAGTTAAAACCTATTGGGATTTTAAATCTTGACTCCGTCCACTAAAAAATCATACCCACCAAAAAAAAAAAAGCACACTTCGAAAATTTTATTAATTATGCGCTTTTATATATACATTTTCGTAGGATGTAACGCCAAAGGTAAGAAATTTGTGTGGCAGTCAGAAATGGATGAATCATTAACAAAGATTAAAAACTTCCCTGGGTTATAGGTAAAGTAGACTGTAATTATGTACAAAAATGAAACAATTGCATGACCGGACAAACCAATATCCAAATCATTATCCATATTTAGTGCATTATTTATATTTAGTGTTTGACATGTCTTGAACATAATTACGGGAGTGTTTGAAAACCTTAGAGCACTAAAAAAAAAAACTATTTTTATGTAAGTCAAGACAGAATTCATCTCAGCTTATTTTAGACTCCGTAAAATCACTTTTAAATGGTTGATCTCAACACCTTCCAATAGAATTTATGAACAATAAAAAATGGAAAAAAAGAAATAACATACTGTTTGGTCAAAGGATTCACCAATCCTGGAGTCCCCAGTGTTTTCCAAGTCACCAAACATAAGCATTATCGAAAGTTCTCTGCCACATGATTCCAGTGGATCCTTCATTTCTCATTGACCAACCAATAAAATCAGTACGATTTGACAAGAACGATATATTAACCAGTATGCTTAATGCTCCTATAATGCTCTTAATCATGCAATACCGACTAGAAGGTCTCAACTTGTGTCCAATTGTTCCCCATCTTGCTTTTGGACTTGACTAGTCTCACTATCTTTCTCATTTTTCAAAGCGGCACTTTCTTCAGTGGCCTGAGTGACACCTTCAGTCTCCGGCTTGGCAGGAGGTGGCGGCAATGTTTTCTTCACCAGCTCTACTATTTCTTCGATCTCCTCATCCGGAAAACGATCCTCGCATTTCTCTATAATCTGCATGATAAAAGTAAACAGATCTGATCATATTAAAACAAAGCAAAGGCTACCGGTATCATCTTATGTTGGAATTTATAAAGAATTTGGACTTGTTTAGTCTTCAGAAGGTGATGATTTATCTTGATTGATGTGAGAATCCAGGAGCAAGAAGATTCTAGGAGAAGAACTATTAAATTAGTGTCAATCATAGCATGCCATAATAATTTTGAATATGATGAACAAGTCAGGTGCAATTGTTTTTGTTATAGACCGTACATAACATGTCAGTCCTGTAAAATACAATACGCAATATCTATTAAGCTCATTTCACCTCATTCCTAATAATTATTTCTTTTTATTACTCTTTTATCTAGGGACAAAAGGGACGTCTCTTATTCACAAACTAATTTTTTCATTCTAAGTATTTGCGGGCATTAATTCTTGACGCCTTTGGCTATGTTTGGTTTCCTATTCGTAAGATCCAAACTCATCTTAGAACCAAATAAATCATAACCTACCTGTCTACCCAAATAAATATCATAACCTTGCTTGTTTAGTTTTCCTAAACCCATGTTCAAGGCAAAGCAACTCAACCCGTATACTCACATTTGAGCTAAAGCAACCATGATCTTGCTTCTCCGTTCTGCAGTTGAGTCAAGCCCATATTTTGCAAGTTCTAATCCAAACACATACTAGTTTGTACCCTCTTTATGGTTGATGAATCCTACGGTCTAAGCAAAACCCTGAGCTTGGGAAACCAGAAATAATTGTTCCTTCTGGTTTATAATTAGAAATATCTTCAACAATGAATTCACAATATCTCGTTTAAGAAAACAGTATCTTGGCCTCAACAATGGAAGGACCAGAAATGGGCAACAGAACAACAGGGTCATGTTACTGTGAAAATACATTCTGTTTAATTGACTGTAGAACAACATATAATTTGCTTCCAACCAACTGATGCAAAGAGAAATTAATTTCTATTTCTACCAATAACTTAAAAGTTGAACTAACAAAAATTGCACCTTCATATTGCCACAAGTAAATGAGTAATAATAGTGATACATCAGATTTCAAAAAAGTTAGCCAACTTAACAAGGTAGCGGGACAAAAGAAATTGAAGCATTTAATGGTTTTATTGTACCAAAGGTCATTGTAGTCATTCTTGGATTATGTTTACTGGTCTTTTCTTTCAACGAGCAGTAATAGTGATAACCTTCCAAGTTCCAACTGGTACTACATCTCAACTTCCCATAAGGTGATTCATCAGTTGATGAAAAAGCTAAGCGGGTGAAAGGCTCGGAAATAGTAATGGTTATAACTTAAAGGTATTGAATGTTGATTTGAAGACAAGTAATTACTCTTTGCTTGTGAAAATTGCAGGCATGACGATCCAAACTTGTATATACTCCTCCATGTGTTTCTTACTGACTTCCAGTTTGATATGATTCAGAGACAAGTAACTACTCTCTCTCTCTTTTTTTAAACAAAGTTTAAAGCTGTAAAAATGCGAGCACTATTTAACAATATATGCTAATCCTCTTAATAAATGTGTTGCGTATACGTTCAATGTTCAAACCCAGTAATTCAAAGCTAAAGCCAGTAAACAACTCAACACTCTGCATCAACTAAGTGGGCAGTTTTACGGGCTTAGATTCAAACCAATACTATAAAGATTGAGTGTAACAGCTAACAGAATTTGCAGAGCTTAGATAACTTGCAAAATTGATGTCAAGACCAAACCAATACTCACAGGAAAAATTTCAACAGCAGCAGTTGGCCTGATGTTTAATATGTTTAGAACCTCAGCCTTTGCAAGATCATGCCTTTTGCAGTTTTCCAAGAACTCATTGATATTCTCTCTAGTTTGATCACAAACAGCACTATCGACCAGATAATCGTAGACCTGTTAGATGGGCAGAACAATCATATACTTTAGGGGTCTGAATGTATTACTATAACAAAATAATGAGAGATTTCTCTTCAACCTTGTACTCAGATTGTGCTACTTTAGCAAGAACCCTTGTTGGATCTTTTGATGCTCCTTTAGCTCGTAAAAAGTCAAGGACCTCAAAATTTGTGAGAGCGCCAGCATTGGCCTCTAGACTGTAACAAGTAATTAAACTGTTTTGTCTCAAGCTGTGTTTGAAAAAATTGACTAGGTAGCAGATGAATAGGAAGAACATACATTTTCATCTGCAAGGAATCAGTGATAGAGAGCAATGGAAGTGAGTGCACAAGAAAAGCCTCTCCTCTAATAACAATAAATGCTTTATGCAATCTCTTATACTTGGGAATCAAGAAAACCGAGGAAATTGGATTGCAAATTCTACAAAGTAATAAGATGATGCAGAAGATGATGGCAACAGGGAAGTGTAGCTACACCAAGTGATCTCATTCACGTACTGAAATTATATCTCTGTACCTTTGGGCTGCATGATTAAGATTTAAACCAGCAATTAGCAGGTGTGAAAGAATAAAAGATAATGACACATTGAGTTGGAAAAAGGATTTTCTAGTCTATTTGCTTCTTCATGAGACCTGATCATGGGTTGAGCTCGTTTAAAACAGGTCTGCCTCATGGAAACAAAAGGCATGGTCCACCAAATGAAGCAACAATTAACAATATACTAATTGCCATGTTTCATTTTTCAATTCATAATTTAAGAAGAATCAAATACCAATCATGATAATATTCATACCCAATGATATCACATAATGATTGATAAAATCATGCATCAATAAGTTACTATTCTTAAACCCACCATAAATTTTGAACTCTAAACATTTCATATTCACAGGTGTATACTGCATAAGCATAAACATTGTTCTCTTGTAAAAGGGTTTATACTCAAACATGACCCTCCAATTAACCAAGACTCTTTTAGCCAGCATAACTGTATGAAACAAGCTGAGGACTAACTTTGGAGATAATGGACGCAAACACACCCATGCAAGCATGCATCTGCGTGCATGCGCGCGCGTGTGTGGAGCAAAACATATAAAATAATCAGCTTTTCCGATATGAAAGTGCATCCCACTCAATTAGCTAGACTTGGATTATGATCTAAAATTTAAATGCAACTGATAATTAAATTCCAGGAAATATGAATATTCAGTAGATTAAATCATGTTTCACAAAATATGATTGAAAAAAAATAATAAAAACAACAATAATCTTAAAAAATTGTAATGAATTGTTTTAGTATTTTCCAATAAGTACATAATAACAGCGCTGCTTAGGAAGCAACGCAAAACGCAAAACAAATGAATAAATAAGGGAAGTTCAATTTTAATCGCCAAATAAAGAGAATATATAGGTAGATACCATTTTCACAAACATTGATGGAAACTTAAAGAAGCCAAAAAAGACACATCCTACACAAGCATTTTATCGAACAGCTGAACTGCATCTCCTAGAAAGTGCAGCGGGATCACAATCAATTAATGGAAAAATCCATGATGTATGGCATTGAATCTGAAGTAGTTAATGAAAAGTTAACAGTGAAATTCCAATGAATAGTTTATGCCTTTTGTCCCAAAAGATAAAATGTCAATATCTTCAGTTCGAAAAAGCCTGGCTCCCGGGACAATTTTTTCGAAAGAGAAATAAATAGTTAAGTAAATTTAATTGTTGAGAGTGACCGGGGAGAGGATTATCGGCCGGTGCTGGGTTGGGACTCCTCTAAAGTTCAGAGGGAAAAGCAGGGCGACGGAAGAGATATAAGTAGAAGAGAGAAACATGAAGAAGCTACCTAAAGAGAGAAGCAAGAGGACGTTCGTAGAACTCTGAAGCGACCCGACGTCCGGCGACGGAGGTGGCCGAACTCCGAATACTTGCCCTTACGGTCAGCGCCGTCAGGCGAGTACTCTAGGGGGCGGGTTTTATGCGTAATTGTACGTAGTATTCGTCCCCCGCCCTTTTTTAACTAAATAAATAGAAAGATGGTACAAATTAAAAAAGTTGATATTTTGATGCCATTAGATCCTTTAAAAGCAAGTTTTCAACTGTAGTCTATAGAATATCAAGTAAATATATAAAGAAAATTTTTGTCTCGACTCACATAAAAATACTTATTATATTTTGTTTGGAATCATGATTATAAGTATTTATCTGAGACGCTTGCAAGGGTCGGTCCGACTGGTTGATAGGGGAAGGCAAGTACCCGCCATCGATACCTACGAGGCACCTTGGGATTAGTCGGTTTCGGCTGGATACCCTGAGTTAGCGATAACATCCTACTCAAAAAAGTATTTATCTGAGACAAAATATTAATCACATGCTTATTTCATATTCTATAAAATCATATTAAAAAACTACTTATTAAGTCATTATAAACAAGCTCTATGAGCACTTATAACAAGCAGGTCCAGGACTCGTTTAGAATGGCTTAGTAAACAATTTTTCAATTATAATTTACAAAATACAAGGTAAGTATATGAAAAAATTTTATTTCAACTTATGTAAAACATACTTATAAATTTATAATTGCCATTCAAATAGGCCCAAAGACAATTGTAGCGTGAACGAATTTTTCCTGGAAGCTGACAGGCAAGGAGTAGGTAAATATGTCTATCTTGTAATTGCTTGCTTTACCACCGAGCGCTTAAATTAACTAATAAAAGAGTTATTCTAGCTAATAAAAGAGGTTATCACTGAAACAAAACAAAAAAAAAAAATTGCTTGCCGTTCGTTTCATTTATTTCCCCTTTATGCTGTCATGACTCGTTACTCTTTTGCCTCAAGTTCTGAATCAAACACTGGTCATGAAAAATTGATAGCTACTATTTATATATCTGCTACTCATTCGCAAATAAAATTGTTAGTTTTATGTGATTTTTTTTTTCAGTTGGACTATTTTTTATTTTTAGGGTCGAATCCATTCGATTAAATATTGTGTACCATAAGATTAATGAAATGATCATTTTCAATTAAAACAATAAGTACATATTAGATAGACTCAAATGCAGAGATATAATGAGTAGCTAAAATTACTTCACATGTAAACCTTGCAATTTACAGAAAAAAAATATCTATTATAATTCTGAATAACTAATCACTTGTTTGGCCCAAAAAAAAAAAGAATTTATCGCTTGACATTGACATTATTTTCCAGTATAACTTCAACTGAAATGAGGAGAGGGAGAAATTATTCTCACAATCACCTTCACTTTGGTGGGATATGCCCCTTTACCATTTGCGAGTCAAGAATTTTCAGTCTGATAATCGAAAGAAAAATCTCTACTTACTATAACTATGCATAACCTAAACTCATAACAACGAGTTTCTCCCCCAGAAACTCTTTTAAGTCCAGAACGCCATTTTTTCACTGTTGAGCTAACCAACTCCACCAGCAGTTGTGTCATAGACATAGTTCTATACCAGTTCACCATTGTTGACGTAACTCTCTTATTACATATCAGCTTCGGTTGATTCTAATGCTTCCACTTTCAGGTTTATGACGAAAGCCTTGACCTGCTGGAACCTTTCTTCTGAGAGTGAAACATCAGAGAGAAGCCTGCAAACATATGCTTCAGAAGCAGCTTCAAAGTCCTCCCTTCTCTTGAGCACCAAGTGTCCGCTGATCTCCCACACAGCAGGATTCACCTGAGCATCAATGATCCCCTGGCTCACTTGTCCCAGTGCGCGCCTTTCAGCAAAACACTAGTTATACAAGGGCAAGAACAAGAATGAATCTTCTGCCATGAAAATGCAAAATATAAAGAAACTCGCAACTTGATTTTTCAATTAACAGGTCTATTCAGTTTTTGAATATAAGAAACTTGTTCCTTGTTTGTCTCGAAATAAAGTAACTCAGAAATGCTGGAAGAACTAATATGCAATGAGTCTGTTATTATTCGTAACTAGCAAATTCGGTCCCTGGACTAAAGCTTGTTTTTGGTAAAAAGAGGAAACTCACAATTTGGACTTCACCTTATTGGGCATAATTAGTTCTGGTTCTAGTGAGATTGGTTTTGGGAAATAGGTTCGTTATTAGCCTTAAGTGAAGCAGCTCAAAGTGCTGGAGGAGAGAGGACTAATAAGCAGTGAGGTTGTCATTTCGTATAAAGAATGTTAGGTATGGAATAAATATAAAAGTGAGCTTCAGGCTTCTACTATGAAAATAATAATAAAAAAAAGCATTTTTAAATAATAACAACAAAGACTCAACAGATACTTCATACCGGAAAAGTAATCTAATCTCTCTTTTGCCTTCTTTACCATTGGGACCACAAAATTACACCTTGGCCAAGTGCTCCCACAGCATCCCCTTTGTGTATTTTCAATCTTAACAAGCCTTAAGGAGAGGGGAAACCTAGGATAAATAAATTCAAAATTCGACAAACAAGCACTCCAAGCAGTTGATCACGGAGAAATAACCAAGGTTGAGAAAGATTAAGGTTTTCCATGCCAAGGTTTAGCTCAAAACTCTCCAGTCTCAGATTTTGATCATCAGCGCAGTTGCATTTTCTGGAAAAACAAAAAACGCGGTCCACACATACCTGTTTTTCCACTGATCTCCAATCAAACCAAATTGTTTGTATGTTATAATTGACCAAACAACCAAAAATCTGGTCTGACATGAATTAAGAAGATCGATGTCCCATTTGGTTGCACCACAAAATAATATATCTATTACAATTCTGAGTAACTTATCCCTTGTTCAGCCACAAAAATTATCACTTGACATTACTTCCATGGTGCAAAATCTTTTATAGTATAACATTTATAGAGGAATATCACAAAGAAGCAGAAGAAGGACACCAAAAGAAGGAATATTGTCAAAAGAAGCATACCTGAAAGAATAGAAATACTCTCTTCCCACAGTCAGAGATGAGAACATTGAAAGGGACGTTATTATTCTGAAGGAAAACAAGCCTACAAGCAACGGCATCAGACAGATCTCGTATAGAAGTTCCACCCTCAAAAACTAGTCCTCGGACTGGATAGTTCAAGAGTTGGGATACACAGATTCCTTGGGAATGAAGTCCCTCATCTACTGGTATCCTTTCTGTAGGGACTTTCTCAACTGGCAAGGGTGCTGCTAAGTAATATGCCTGTGCCAGAATATGAATTAGTGAAGACTTGGAATATGAATATGAGAATATCCTATGAACTGAACTATAAGATATTCAAGTTCCAAGTGGGATGTGACCGTACCTGGAAATGTAGATGATTGATGGTGGCAAAAGCACCCAAACTATTGTAACCCACTCTAAAGTAGGGATCAACAGCTTCTTTAGCCATATGCATAGCAAGCAGGAAACTGCCATGGTCAATCCTCTGAGGCAAGCAATCCAGGATACGGGGAATGAGAAGGACATGTCCATACTCAAGTGGGCTCACCTAATAATCAAAGTTCAGTCATCTATTAGCCATCTGTTAAATCTTCTGTAACAAGGATGTAGTGTCACTGTCACTCGTAAAGATGCCTGGATTGAGGGGAATGGAGGAAAATGGATGAAAATTGAAGGTTCATATAGACATTTTCTTCACATAAATCTAAATCAAACAACTCTTTTCTTTCCTTTCCCCATTCTCTTCAAATCAAACAAATCCCAGACTTCGTCAATAAAAATGCAAACAAATCTCCCAAAAGCAGTAGTCATGCAAAATGTATTTACTCCAATTGTCCAAAGTTTTGCTAAATAGTCTCAAAAAGCCAAACTGTTCAAAGAGACGAAAAAAAAAAGACCATACTTACATTTATTGCAACAACATTTGGAGATGTTGATATCTTCTCAACCGGAGCATTTGGAACAAAATGACTCTTGTGGTCACTGCTCTGCTCAAACAGAAAGAGTGCTTCTTCTTGCCCAACTTTTGTGAAATTGAACTTATTATCATCAAAGGGCTGAAGAACTTGATCCAATCGGAACTCAGTTGGTCGTTTTTTCAGGAGGCGCTCTTCATTCAGTTGTACAATAAATCCATGTTGCCCAGGAATGGACTTTGTCTCATTGATGGTAACATCATGCCTGAAAAGCCCCCGGTTCTTTCTATTTTCCCACTCTACGAACAAGAGATTGTGGAGGAATGATATTTCAGTAACTTCCTCAGAGGATTCCACCATCCCAGCTTCTATGGGAACACTGCCATCTTTCTTGTATAGATAAAGAGGAAGCCTTGAGACTGAAATTAAAAAAAAAAAAAAAAAGTCAAAATATGTGTTCATCAGAGAAAACACCGTTACCGTATCTCCCTCCAACCTTTTCCACATACCCTCTTTAAAACTTTAAGAGACTTAATGGTAAAAACTATTCTTAAGAAAAAGCTTAGTAAAACACAAACTACTTCTATCCCTCTCCAATTCAAGTAATATGCACAAAACAATAAACATTATGCAGGCATCTCCTACGCGCCAACTACCAACGTCCCCACCCTTTTCAATCTTCTGGCAAGTTGCAGTTAATGATCAAATTCGTGATCCTTCACAATTTTGAGTTTTGGTGATATAAGCTTTTGAAGAATTCAAGCAATATTTCGAGCCAGATAACTAAGGAGCTAAAACGGTAGAACTACATCCATCACTCCCCAATTCAAGTAATATGCGTAAAACAATAAACCACATGCATGTATTTCCTATCCACCAATTCCCATGGTCTCCACTCTTTGGATCTTTTGGCAATTTGAATTTAATTATCAAATTCACGATCCTTCACAACTTGAATTTTGATAATGAGCATTTCAAGAATTCAAGCAATATTTCCCGCCAGAGAACAAAACAATGTAGCTAAAAGCCTAAAACGGCGTATGAGAGTCAGTTAAATACTTAGATTGATCCATTTTTGCTTCATTTTTCCTCCTGCAGTATCCAAAATATGTTTTTTATTCAAGTAACTGTTTAAAAATGGTCATGAAATAAACCAAATAACTTGATCATCAAGTTATAATTGAAAAAGAAGCAAGTGATTCTAAAAGTAATACCAGGTAAGCAGCACTTTCCGAGGCAATGCCGGCCACAACCGAGGGATCCCTTTTCCGAATCATCTTCCTGGTAATTGGAATCGACAATGGCTACCCCCTCGATGGTCATCTTAAAATCAAAAGGGCGCAGATAATATATATAGAGACCCAAAACTAAAGAAAACCCGACCGACAAGGAGGAGGTCAGAATGAGAGCCGCCGGCGGAAGGAAGAAAACCCCGGCCACAGTGAGCGGAAGAAGGGGTTGGAAGTGTGCTTAAACAAAAAATGCGCTGTCTCGGAGCTCTTGAAGGTGCCGCTGCTGGCGTTGTGGGGGAATGAAGCCGTAGTCACAAGCAAATGGAAGTTCTCTTTCACAAAATTCAGCGGGAAATCCGTTTGTTTGATGCGAAGCTGCGAACTAACGCTGTGATTTCCCCAGGACGGTGACGGTGCATTTTGGAACTTCCTACCTCGGCAGTCAAAGGAACAGCTGTTCGGACGAGTCGGATCTTGTATTTATAACGTAGTGTACTCTTTCTATTTTTAATATAAAACTTATTTAATAATTTAATTATATTAAAAAAATTAAATAAGTTAGTTAATTACAAAAAATATAGCATGTTTTTTTCTAAAACACCATAATTATCTTTCTTAATATCCTTTTTCCCTCACTTATTTGCTTATAATTGAGGAAATATCCATATGGATAATTTAGAAAAAATTGATAAATATAAAAAATAAGTCTTATATTTAGGACCAAAATTAACTCAACAATTAGGTCCTATATTAAGGACCGGAAGAGTATCAAATTTTAGTTTTTTAAAATTATAATTTATTTTTCATTTAAAAACTCTTTTAATATTATTTTGATTTTTATCCTCAAATTTTAAAATGGTGGTTATAATTTATGAAATATTATCTCATTTTAGTTTTTAATATCTGAAACTTGAAACAATTGGCTTTGATACTTGAAATATTTTAAAAACCAAAACTAAAATCAAATCAAATTTTATGAATCAAAACCAAAATAAGGTTAGATTTTAAAGACCAAAATCACTTTGAGTGTAAGGTTGGAATATCAGGAGAGAGACCAAAACATAGTGGAAATACAAATTTTAATGAGTTAATAGTATTTTTAGTCTTTAACATTTATCTTCATTTTAGTTTTAATCTTTGAAATTTAAAATTAATAGTTTCATCTTTGAAATTTGATCTTATTTTTATTTTGGTTCCTAAAATTTTAAAGAAACAATTTTAGTCCTTAAAATTTGATTTTGTTTTGGCCATCTTAAAATTTTTTTATCCCTGAAACAAGGACAAAAACCAAATTGAGGTTAAATTTCAAGAACTAAAATCATTTGTTTCAAATTTTAGAAATCAATCAGAACCAAAATAAAATAAAATTTTAGAGACTACAACTATTAATTTCAAATTTGAAAATTTAAAACCAAAATAATATCAAATTTTAAAGACTAAAAATTATATTAACCTCCAAAATGACTAAAGTATACATTTGGTCCTTTAACTTTGTACAAAATTTTAATTTGGTCTTTTAATTTTAAAAAGTATGCATTTAGTCTTTTAATCCAAAAAATTATTAAAAAACGATGACATTAAACTCTTAATGTTGATAAAATATTCTTAAATACTAACATATTAAGTTTAATTTTTAAAACATCTATGATTATTACAAAAAATCATCATTGAAATCTAATGATTTTAGAATTAAAGGATTAAATATATGCTTTTTAAAATTAAATGGCTAAATTGAAATCTTATATAAAGTTAAATGACAAATGTATATTTTAGCGCTTCCAAAATAGTCTAATTGTCTTGAAGTCATTATAAATTGATCTACGATCACATCATAAAGTAAAATTCCTTGTGTTTCATTTAAAATCCCTGGTTTCAGAGTAAGAAGAAATTTTACCAATGTGACTTAAATCTAATGATCATGTGAGAAGGTTTGAATCTTTAATGCACCCGCTTTTAATATCCAAGAGGCCTATGGAAGGAGGATATCTGGCCTTAAGCGAAGAGCAGCCAGAGATTTTCTTTCCTTTGTGCATAAAAGTCAAATTTTTACCAACGGGGATTGGGTCTAGCGAAAAGGGCTAGTCCCTCACAACGTAGCGAACCAAAATTCGAATTCCTGCTGGGAGATGTGCTTACATTTAGTGCCCAACAATACTTTGAATAAGATTGTCTCCAATAAGAAGATACCTATGCTTTAGTAAAAAAAAAAAATCAAATTTTTTGACACTCACACGTGTATCCCTCTATTAATAACAGTCAATTTCATTAAAAGAAAAATAATCCCAACAAAGTTAGTAGATTAGCATAACTTGGGCCAGAGTGTAATGATAGAGAAAAGGAAAGCGGACAAACAGTGGCCCATTCCAGAAAACGCATAATTACCAACAGACTCATAGTCCAAAAGGTGGCCATTCAAATCCCACAATTCTCGTACTCAGCCCAAAACAGGAAGAAGCATAAAAAGACCAGCCCAATAAGATCCGGCTCAACAGCTACGTTAAAATTCCAGCCCAATAAGATCGGACGCAAAAGCTTCATGGAAAGTATTACTTTTCACCCATCCTTTATTCCCCTCCCCCCTCTAATACGATTTAAACTGACTCACGCACACAAATATGTTAACACCGTACTTAAATTTGAGACCTCTTCTAAATATGATGGGTGGCGTTGCTTCTAGCACAATGACCTTTATATAGGTTATCTATCAAAAGAGTTTTATGATCTTAAATACGTAATTTTGGAATAATTTGTAGAGCATTAATTGATATTGCCATATTTCAAAAGCATCCTTCTTATCAATCTCCATATGAAGGGATAGGGAATATATGTTATCCAAATTCGTGATATTTCTTATATGAACGGTGGGGCTTAACAACCAATTTATGATATTTATTATAAGTAAAAAATTAAAAATTTCTCTTGTTTCTAATATTTAATTAAAATGACTTATATACTTGATATACTAAACTTTTTGTAAGAAAAAAAAAACCCCAATTCTTAATATGATAGCCGCTTTAACTAATTTAAGTAAATTAAGAAAGTTAAATAAATTACTTAATTCTAACAAATGTAACATAATGGAAAAATTGCACTAAAAGAATTAAACGCAAAAAAGCCATTTAAAATCATCAAATTAATCTAAAGTCACAAGGGACCTTATTGTAAAAGATTTCATTTGTTTAATTACTAAACTTCCCTCATCTTTTTTTCCCTCTAAGTATGCATTGACAACTTAAAAGGTAGTCGTTAATAACTTAAAGTGCAACGATTAATCACTATCATGGTAAATATTAACAACATATTTTCTTGGCACATCATAAAGATTTAATGTATGGGTTATTGATAGTTGTTAATTGTTGCACTTTAAATTGTTAACGACTGTCGTTTGAGTTATTAGCGCATGCTTTAAAAAAAAAAAGATGAGGGCAGTTTAGTAATTGAACAAATGAAATATCTTGTAATGAGGTTCTTTGTGAAAACTTCAAATTAATTTCATAATTTAAGGGATTTTTTGTACATTTCATTCTCTTGGATGGGACTTTAGTGCAATTATTAAAATTTTTTGCAATAACTGATTGAGCATGCATGCATCTATAATCATTTTTTGAACCAGAATTTATTATTACATGCTGCTTACTTATAAGACTTCTTAATGATCACATTACCTATATAAAACTACATAGTACTTTTAATCGTCATTATGAGATTCATTTTGTAGCACACAATTATACTCTACAGTGAGTCATATATTAAGAATAAGAGGTAGCAATAGATTTTTTATTTTCAAAAAAACATTTTGATTCCTGAAAAGAAGATAATCCAAATTCCTGGGAGACCCTTCATTAGGATCACAATAAGACTAGAATTTTATTATGACTAGTAGTGACTCCACCAACAGCGGAGACCCTCCATTTGCAGAAAGTCTGTGTCCAAGAAATCCATCATAGAATTCCCATCTTGCCCCTCATCTCATTCTTCCTCCTTTAGTAAACTCTCCCACCAATCCTGATCTGACAGCTCGCTCTTGCCAATACCAGCAGGAGGACATGGCTGTGCAAAACCGCCGCCGCCAGAGCTACGAGTAGAAGCACTTTCAGCTGCAGTAACAGGCTTATTCTTCTTCTGCTTCAACCATGGCGAATTCTCAGAGAAAGCATAAGGCTGTGGTTTTATTACTATGCGGGCTTCTTTCACTTTTCCTTTCTCTTCTGCTCGCAGCAGCTGGTTCACCTCTTTTTCTTTTTCTTGTCTCTTAATAACAATATTGCGCATTTTGGTATCCCAGAAGTTCTTCACGTCATTTGCTGTTCTTCCTGGTAGCCTCCCATCTATCAACGACCATCTATTCACAAAATTTCAACAGTGATTAAGCAAATTAAAAAAGAGTTATCTCAAATTAATTGTACATCAGAAGAAGACATATATATATATATATATATATATATAAATATGTGTGTGTTGCAGAACATGTATGTGCATGCCTCTTGCCCAGCAGCTTATGGAGCCTCATAATCATATCAACCTTGTCTTCATTGAAGCCTCCTCTCTTGATGTTGGGTTTCAGATAATTCAACCACCTCATTCTGCAGCTTTTCCTGCACTTCAGACCTGCAAATTGTAATAATGCAAACCAATATCACACACACACACACATATATATGTTGAGCAATATATATGTTATTTGTGACATGTATGTACCAGCTCTTTGGGCAACAAGATGCCATTTTCCCTCGCCGTACTTGAGAACGTAAGCTTTGAGAAGATCGTCTTCCTCTCGGGTCCAGGCACCTTTCCTCAACCCTGGCTCCTCCTCCATTAATTTGACCTCGCTTATACTCAATGTGTTCATATACTGCACCCATACATATACATACATACATGTATCTATATATATACACACGCGTCTGTGTATGTTTCCCTTGTCATCAGCAACAACCTATTATGTTCTGTATCTAAATATAAGGGAGAATGACGTAGAAGGAGAAGAACCACACAATTTAATTTCAACGCATTTCAATGCATGAAAAAAAATGCATATTCACATATGACATAAAATTGTAGGGTTAAATGGTATTTTTGCCTACCATATGGTTCCCTTTTTTTTCCTTTGGATAAGCCAAAAAAATGGAAATTCAAGAAGCATTTATGACAGTTTTCCTAAATTGCCCCTTATAAATAAAGCCACAGTTAATGCGTGGAGGAATGTGAGTTGATGGAGTCAAATTAGAAGGGCATTTTTTTTTGTTACAGAAGGATTTTTGTTGTATTGAATAAAATCAAAGACCAACATAATGTGTGAAATAAAAACCAAAACACCAAAAAGCAACCAAACAACACACCAAAGATAAACCCAAACCCTAAATCAAAGTCAAAAGGACCCATGCGCTGTCACTGCCACTACCAGAAAAAAATATAGCCATCGAACACTATGTTTGAAACAAGGGATGGGAGTTCAAAGAACCATCCTAACAGTGTCATCCCTTTTAACAAATTATATCTGCTATCATAGGAGCAGACTTACCACCACTTAACTATCATTGCAATGGAAGAAGCACTGCGACCAACAATGGCAACACATTAGTTTAGTAAGATCACGACCATCCCCACCAACTTTCCCCAGCCCAAATTAAGCCACCGGATTTAAGCAAGAAAACTACAATCCATTGCAAACCAAACCGCATCGGAGTAGAAAGATCCAAGAAGCATACCAAATCAAGGTCGTCACGAAGAGATTAAAAACCTTGAGAGTCGCTGACCATCTTATCACTCTCTATCTACTGTGGCACCGTCGTCAGTCTAGATTATTGTTGTTGCTTGGGTCCTGAAACAGCACTGTGCCGCACAGATCTGGTCCTCCCTCCGGCCATCTTTATAGAAACTTTTACTAGAAACAATGGTATTTCTAATTATAGCCTCTTAATCTCCGCTGCTAGCAATCACATCCTCTTAGATTTGGTCCTCCTTCCGGTAATCTCCACTGCACAAGGGGTGTCTCCACTTCTTTTTCCCTCCATTTTCATCTACTTCTCATCTCAGTCGTAAGATTGAGATTTTAACTGTTCAGATTTCATATTTATAAAATTATAAATAAAATGTTAAATTTTCAAAAATAAATAAATAAAATCAAATAAAACTACTAAATTTTAGTCAGTATAATTCAAAACAATAATAAAAAATACTTCATAAAATCATTTTCAAAAACATGAAATCTGGACCGTTAAACTTTCAATCTTAGTGGTTAAGATGGAAAGTGGATAAAAATGGAGAGTGAAAGAAGTGGGGAGACTCTTTGCTCATCTCCACCATACAAATCAAGGTGATTATCATCGAAAAAGAAGAATAGAAACCCTAACCCTAACCCCTGCACATGCTTTTTAAGTACCGTAATTAATTGGAATATGAATTATAGAATACGACAATTATATTTAATGTAACAATAAAATCGAATAAAAATTCAATCTATAAAATGGCCCCCCGAATCATATAGTTTATTACTTGTAGTTTTGGCCCAGGCGGGAAAAAAAACACATTTTATTACACAACCCTAGCTAATACACCCAGAAAGATCACGAGGGCCACAGTACAGAAAGACAAGAGACAAATTAAAAAATGGCGACAACAGCGAAGAGAAGAAAACAAAGACAAATAACATTAATGGAGATCAATAATACAGAGATTAACACGACAAACATCATGTTGGAAACCACGAAACGATAAATGAAGATCGATCCCTCGCCTTGAACTTGAAGATCATCACCGTCTGATGAATTCCAACGTTCCCAACCAGACGATCTCGGAGACATAATTATGATGACATAATTAATTTTCTGTTTTGTTGTTTCAGATCGATCAATCTATATCCTCCCCCGATTCTTATTATAATATTCAAATAACTGATTTACGTATGAAATTTGTTAGAAACAATTAATAAATAAGAAACATATTTTTGTTTCTAAATATAGTTTTATAATAAGAGACAAAAAAATGATGAAATATATGAGAAAATGTAATGAGAGGGAGCATGGCAAAAGATTACTCTCCTCCCAAAATTAAAGCTTATAAATAGGACTAGAGGGAGTATAGCGATAATATGATATAATACTCCCTCCAGCCCTTATTACAAAAATGTTCAACACGTTTCATTATGTTTCATGATATAATATATTTTTATTTAAAGTATAAATTTTTTCAGTTGGTATCCTCGACTAATTATGAAATTTCCTAGCTAATCAGCATAACTCTCCTAATTAATAATTTTCATTGTGGATAGTTTTAACATTTCACAAAAAATAACTAATTTTAACTATTTTTTTAATTTATGTAAAGTAATTAATTGAAACTTATTTAAAAAAAAAGATAGGATAACTAGCAAACACTAAATGTGAGCATTTCTCTTAGTAGAAATTTAAATCTTGATTCACCATGTTGTGAGATACTAACATTTCTCATTACCTAAATCACTTTCAATGATGTGAGTGTGATTGTAGTAACCCATCGATTTTATTAAATTGTTATGTGAAGATCTTAATTAATTTACTTTTCTGTGAGCAGAATATATTATTGGACCTTCTGCTTTTAGGGGCATACATGACTTCACTTGTTTGGTATCACGTTTAAAATAACTTATAAACATGTTTCAGGTAAGTTAAGATAAAACTCTTCTCACATACTTATTTTATATTCTGTAAATCATAATTAAAAATATGCTTATAAATTATTTCAAGCAGACCTGATTCATTTAATTTAAACATTTTATGAGGGTGAGATAATCTTAATTACTGATTTAACTGCATATATATATTTACTTGATCAAGTAATTCTGCCGGTCATATCTATCTATTATCTCTTTGAAAAGACGATATGAGCTGCTTGTCTAAAATTAAGACGCTATTTCATGTTTTTAATATAAACGTTAAATAACTAATTTGTAAATATTAAGAAAATTAGTCAAGTTAATTATTTGTAATAAATCTATATTTTTTTGTCTGAAATATCCTTATTACTCATGTGTATTACAATGAAAACCTTTTAACATGTGTAATCACTAATCACCATGAAAACTATTTTAACCAAAAATATAAATATGAAAGATAAAATGAATTGAAATATTATATTTAATGATCAAATTAAATCTCTCAAAAAAATTATATTCAGGACTACTCAATTGATTGGCATTAGAGATGGTATCTTGTAAATGAATATACATTCTTTCAGGAAAAAAAAAGGAATATACATTATATATTAATTGTGAGCCTTGCTTGGACGGATGAGCCATTAATTTAACATGAAATTGGCGGGTCTCGCTGTGGTTTTTGGCTGAGGTGGCAGTAATTTTCTTCGTTTTGCTATAGCGGTAATATTCATTAATTGTGGATTTAATTATTCCAATGCATGCCTTTTCAATTTTTCATTAGCTTATGTGTTTGACCGTTGGAGTGAGATTTTTCTAACGGCACTGCTGCAGAGCAACGCGGTCTTGTCTTCTAATGACCGTTTGAATACTACTTCGGTTTTACTTTTAACTGACGCAGAAACTCAATTTTACTCTCCCTTATTTATAAAAAGGGTTAAGGTTCTTAATTGCCCCGGAAGTTTTCCCCGAGGAACACTCAGCACCCGGAAGTTTTTGTTTGTTCTTAAATATCCCGGAAGTAATTTATCGTAGCAATTATGCCCCGAGTTAACATTCAAGCAAACGGACATCTGTAAATAACACGGTGTCGAGAAGATGGATGACACGTTGGTAAATGAGATGGTGACGTGGCACTGTTGTGTCGACAAAATAAAAGTTGATGCCGAAGGTCAATGTTGTCATCGAAGGTCGCTCTTGTCGTCGACACTGAGAGCTAGGGTAAAGCAAAGTGAGGTCGGGCGCATGTGAAGTCTGAGAAGAGGACAGAGCAGAGATTCGACTGGATTGAAAAGGTATGGAATATTAGATCCTCGTCATTAGGTTCTTATTTTCAAATCCGGTGTGGCGAAGTAATTTTCTTTTTTTAAATTAGTTTAGGGTTGAGGTGAGATGACAAGGAGGGGTGGTAGTGGTCCCGGTGGTGGTCCCAGTAGTTCACTACCAGGGGGTAGCGAAGAATTAGGGGATCCGTACAGTATCGTGGGTGAATTTGAGAGGGCTTTGAAGACAATTGATGAAACGAAGAAATGTTTGGGGGTTTCTGTGAATGATGATAGAGACAAGGTAGATGATAAGAGCCGTGTTGATAGTGGAATGGGAGTCCAGATTGATGAGGAAACTGGATGAACTGTCTACAATGTATGTGATCGTTTAATCTGTTTTCATAATCCTTTTTCCTTCCATGTTTTCAAAATCTAATTATATTGTTAATGTCATTATGCAGCGTGGCTTGAATTCACAAGTTGTCCTTGATGAGGGAGAAGAATACATGGAGCACCATGCAGACATAGAAACAAGGTTTTCCATCCCAAATGAGCTTTCAATAAGGATCTCTCGGAGCATGTCTGATTCCAATGGTAGTAGCTCCCGTAGAATCCAATATCGAGGTGATGGAGCAATTACTTCCACTCCTTTTAACCTACCATTCACTCCTCCAGGACTAATGTGGTCAGGACAACCAGCCTCAACCACCTCACAACTCCTAGCTCACAGGGACCACATAGTAATTGCCTCTTCTAGCCGAAGGAAGTTCGATGCAAGGAGAGGAAGGGAATAGCTATATTATTTGTACCAGTCTGCTATTTAGGGGATTTAGATAGCACTGTTTAGTGTATTTGGCATATTTAGATGGCACTTCTTAGGATTTAGGAAGGTGTATTTGTACTTGGCCTTGTTCTCTTTTGGTTCTAGCTGTACCAGTCTATTGTTTTTTTGGATGTATGTTCTGTAAATGTTGGAGAGCCAAATAACACTGATGTAGCAAAGTTTATAAATGGTGGTCATTTATTGATAAGCTGTTTGATAAATGAACTTATCGATAAGCTACTCGATATAATTGAGCCAATTTCATAAACTTTTGTCCGATAAGGTTATTGATAAATGGTATTTATCGATAAGGACTTCGATAAATAAAAGAAACAATTCAAGTCCTCATTTATCGATTTGTTAATCGATAAATATCCTTATCGACTAATCAATATTAATCAATATAAATAGCTTGGTGTCTTCTACTGTCGCACATCCCACGTATCCTTTGTGTCTTTTACTGTCGCACATCACACGCATCCTTTGGTAACACCATTCTAACTCAAAGCTTATTTTCAACTATATTCTTGAATATATATTAGAGAAATGGTCTTCTCGAATACGTATTTGAGAACTGGTCTTCTTGAATACATATTAGAGAACTGATCTTTGGTCTTCTCTGCTCTGTCCTCTTCTTAGACTTCACATGCGCCCCACCTCGCTTTGCTTTGCCCTAGCTCTTAATGTCGACGACAAGAGCGACCTTCGATGACAACATTGACCTTCGGCATCAACTTTTATTTTGTCGACACAACAGTGCCACGTCACCATCTCATTCACCAACGTGTCATCCATCTTCTCGACACCGTGTTATTTACAGACGTCCGTTTGCCTGAACGTTAACTCGGGGCATAATTGCTACGATAAATTACTTCCGAGATATTTAAGAACAAACAAAAACTTTCGGGTGCTGAGTGCTCCTCGGGGAAAACTTCCGGGGCAATTAAGAACCTGTCGCCACTTTTTTTCAACCTCAATTTTTGTCTTAGCTGATATAAAAAAGCAACGTTGAAGCTTTCCCCCCCCCCTAATAGTGTGCGACTGAGATTACAAAGGTAAGTTTTGTTTTTTTTAAACAGGCAA